AATCCGAAATCAATGCTAAATTCACGGCAAATTTATTTAATAAATAACTTATTAAAAACATTATACATGCGCGCGTTAAGACACAGGTCGTACAGGTCAATAACCTACCTCCTAATACCTATAATGAAACTCTTTATATGTCGATATTCGATATCGAATAGTCGATATTCCGACGCTCCGCACTTTATACACATCAACAAAGAGTCGATCTATCGATGACTCACGCTGAAAGGGTTAAATTCCTTTTGCGATTTAACTTCGTGTTTATTACAATCATTTTATTCTTTCCGACATTTCAAATATTACACAGTTTTCATGGGCATGATTGAGCTGTTTATTCTTCGCCATTTGAATATTGTGCTAACTTTTACGTTGTAGATGTCTATGGGTTCCAGTAACCACCCACAGGTGGGCTGTGAGCTCGTCCACACATCTAGGCAATAAAAAAATAAAAAAACACTACCAGCTAATTTTCTATAAATTAATCACACGAAAGAACACACAGTACCTATCTTGACGTCTGGCGACTGTAAATATGCGCGAAATTAAACTATAAAACTAGTTTTAATTACATCTAAGACTCGTCAAAACCGAAGACGATGCTAAAAAGTAGTAGGGCGTCTGCCGTGAAGCAGTAATGCATTCTAGCTGACACGGTAGACTATGTAGTGCCACAATCGTTAAATAAAAGACCTAAATTTTTATATAAAATAAACTTAAAACAAACAAAAGGAACCCGTCCGACAGGGGACATATCAAAGGAAAAACAAAATTGTTATTTTTATTTAATTCCGAGCATTTTCATATTTATCTACCTTTTAAACCTTCTCTGGACTTCCACAAATAATTCAAGACCAAAATTAGCCAAATCGGTCCAGCCGTTCTCAAGTTTTGGCGAGACTAACGAACAGCAATTAATTTTAAGCTATTGCATAGCTTCTATCGCGGGCCTTGAGCGTGGAGACCGAATCATGAAATTCCGTAATGAAAAAACCTAACACTCCTCACTCCGCCTACCATGTAGCTCGCGTTCAACACATTCACACGTTGCGCTTGTGTAGTGTTTGTGAATTATCGCGTGGCGTGACTTCACACAGCATGCACATCATGAAAAGTCTGCCCATCTCTCTCTCGCGCGTTCTAGCTTATGAGTGTGAAGGGGACAGTTAAGGTTTTGCTCTTATTAATGTTTAATATAGCGTGGTCTTGTTTTATTATTGTTTTAATATGAAATTATCATTGTCTAATTATAATTGCATAAGTTGATAAAAAATGCTATGCAATAGCTTTACCGCGGCAGTTCCCGAGTGCCACACGTTTGTGTTTTTATATATATAGATAGATAGATATATAGATAGATATCGACAAAACCTCATCTCCCGTTCGCGAATTTAAGGCGTCATTGAGAAACCTAATCAAAGACGAGGCCTTGGAGAACATTGTCCTAGGCCACGATCTTTTATTACTCTTATTATGGCGGAATTTTCTTAATTAACCCCGCCATTTAAATATACATCTAACTCCTGCCGTTCGCTTCACGTCACATAAGGCATTTTCCCACCGTACACATAATGTAAATATATGTGCCTACCTACGGAACACAGTGACATTTCAAATTTGAAATCTCCTCACTAAGGAATGAGAGTTCGATTGACGAATATACCGTATTTTGTTCTATCATTTTTATTAGCAAAGAAACAAGATTAGCTTACGGTGCGTCTAATAAAGCGCCCATTGGAGATATAATAACTAACGCTGCTCCTCGCCTAGGGATGTAAGTTTGGAGTTTCGATATATTTTTTATTGCTTAGATGGGTAGACGAGCTCACTTCACACCTAGAGTTATGTGGTTTTTAGAGCCTATTGAGTACCGTAAATGCCGCCACCCACCTTCAGAACATGACTTCTAAGTTTGTAAGTTTTGATACTAAAACAGCTGCCCCCCTTTCACGACAAAAATAGGCAGGGCGGTGGTGCCTCTTCATGCGGGCTTACAAGACGGCCAACTATCAATAATTGCGTAAATTATATATTTTGCACGTTTTATGTTTAATACACGATATTATTGTTTACGTCGAAGTCATTGTTTATATCATTGTTTATATCATGTCAACAGCATTGATACAACAGCTCATACATACTCAAGAAGACGAAAGTGCAAATTGTTGAGACGCTCGTTTTCTTAATCTTTTTGTATGGGGCTGAGACCTGGATCTTGAAAGAGTCTGGCAGACGACGCATAAACCCGTTTGAGATGTGGTGCTGGCGACGCATGTTGCGTATCCCTTGGACGGCTTTCTGGACGAACGCTTCCATCCTCAACGAGCTAAAAGTTGACCGGAGGCTATCCACCAAATGCCTATATAGAGTGCTCCAATATTTTGGTCATATATCAAGAAAACCCTCTAACAACCTGGAGAGACTTATGGTGACAGGTAAAGTGGATGGAAGACGATCCAGAGGTCGGAGCCGAAAAAAATGGAGTGACCAAGTGTCCGAGTATCTGGACATGAAATTGAGCCACGCACTTCACTCTGCCACTGACCGACATAAGTGGCTACTAATTACAAAAAAGGTCACAGGCGGGCGCATCACGATGCTCAACAATGAGCGGTCGACTGAAGGAGGATGAGGATACAACAGCCGCCCCTACAATTCCAACCGTAACAGTTTTGCAACAAGCAAAAGCACGAAAGTGGTTCGTAGACTGCGCCTTAAATTTTGTACCTAAGGCCGAGACCAGGGGTTCAGAATTTGAAAGTTAAGAAATTAGTAGAATTTACCGCTACCACGACCAGATAATGAATTAGTCACATATTTCGAGGGGGCCAAAGAGTATGGCCTAATCAAAAGCTGAGCAGTGTGCTTAGTGCGAGTTTTTTAACGTTCTCGATATCGTAAAAGTTAACTCAAATTTGTATAGAGTTGGATCGTTTGCCTACGTTTGACACTAGGAGCGCGTTTCAACTACATACAAATTTGAGTTATGCCGAGTTTACATTACGAAATTAGTGTCATGCATGTTGAGCTCAGTTTCACGAAAGTAGTTTCGATATATGCGAAAGTAATTTCGTAAAAAAATTAGTGTCGCGAAATCCACAGTATCGCAGTAACCATGGCGCCATCACCATCAAAGCTAAATTCTATGCTATATGCTATATTCAATGTAGCTAAAGAAATGTTTATATACCTATAAACTTAAAAAAAAGACTATCAAGAAAAAAAAGGTTGGTAGATTCGAGGATGGTCAACAAGAAGGCATTTAGGTGCAATGAAGTTAGTCTCTGAATTAGCAGATGAAGATCCTGAGAGTTATAAAAACTATGATCGAATGAGTGAATATAATTTTGCTTTTTTACTGTAGGTGTTTCGGGTCCCAGAGTCACCGTTGTCGCTGATATTCATTAATAAGAGCTATATTTTTATCTGTACTCCATCGTTGGTTTGCCATTTTCAACGTTTGAAGCGCGTCCGAACTAACAATACACACGTCCGCACAGCGCAGGCCCTTTCGCGACATTAGTTTCACGTCGCGTTTACACTATGAAATTAGTTGCATGACATTAATTTCACCAAAAAATCGCGCAGGGCACGAAACTAATTTCCATGCATGAAACTAATGCATGCATTACGAAAGTATTAAATTACACGTGAAACTGTTAGTAAAACTAATGTCACGAAATTAATTTCACGCCACTAATTTCGTAATGTAAATGCGGCTTTAACTTTTACGATATCGAGAACGTTAAAGACTCGCAATAAGCACACAGATATTTATGACCCGGCAAACTTCGTAGTGCCTCACTCGATAAATAAAAGACCTAGACTTTTGTATAAAATAAACTTAAAACAAACAAAACGAATCCGTCCGACGGGGGACACATCAAAGGAAAAACCAAATGGTTATTTTTATTTCATTCCGAGCATTTTCATATTTATCTACCTTTTAAACCTTCTCTGGACTTCCACAAATAATTCAAGACCAAAATTAGACAAATCGGTCCAGCCGCTCTCGAGTTTTAGCGAGACTAATGAACAACAATTCATTTTTATATATATAGATATTTATTTATCACTTACATTCCAAGATCAGCAAAATGTACATTTGGAAACTTTATGTTAATAAAGTTATATATATATTAATAAAGTTAATAAAAACGAGGTCGTCAGGTTTGAGCCCCGTGAACTCACCTACTCGCTCGGAGAATATAGTATAACGTCTCAAGGTTACTAGAATAAGTGGGAAAAAACGTTGTTTTTAAATTATATGTATAAGCGCCATCTATACACTTTGTTATAAACTCCGCTCAAACCAACTTTTTAAGTGAGAATTTTAAGTCAACATCAAACAGAAAACAATAAGTTTATGTAAGTATTAATAGATGGCGCTTACAAATAAAATGCAATTGCGTAACGCCATCTCGTGTCGATTTAATGTAACGATAAAAAATAGTGTTTCAAATGTGGTAGATGGCGCTACAAGTAGATTGCTTACCCAATTCATAGGTATATTTAGGTTATCTACTTATCTAGTAAAAAGGGTTCAACGGAACCCAGAACCATATTAAGTGGCTAATTTTTGACTTCGTTATATTTCTAAATATCAAAGTTTACACCTTGTTGAGACGTTGCTCCATTACGCTAAAATCAATGTATGTATGCTTTATATTTAACACTACATTCGCCAATCAAACCTAACCAAACTAACCAAAACTAACCTAATGCGGCGAGCGCCGTGCAATTGCTCGAAGTTTAGCGCATTGTTAAATTGTCACTTCGTGATAGTAAACAGTAGATATGTAGTAAATTGAAGTTCGTAGTATTTTATAGTAAAGCATTCACAATAATAACATCGTGAGATTGCTTTATTTACGATAACATTGCCATTCGATTTCCTGTTACTGCAGTTTTGTAGTTTCCAATTTCCTTCCTAATAATAAGACTTTCACGTTTCTTCTTATTCTTATTATATACAGGATAAAAAAATAACAAAAAACAGATTACTATCATGATGGAATTTATTTTGCGTTATCGAACAAATACAATTCTTCTTTCGAAACAAAATAAGGTCCTAAATAAGGTACATTTAGCTACTTTATTAACATCGTAAGTATTTTCTTTTTTTCTGTACATCAACAGTTAAATGTTCAATTAAGAAAAATAACTACATTCATGGCTGGATCTAAGTGCTACTATACGCTACTCTTAAATCATCAAAATATCAGGCTCAATATGAGCTATCGTAATTCTCGACCGACGGCCCTCCCATTCAATATTAATTGACAAGGATTTAATATAATACAAAACACTTTTTTCTGCATGTTCAACATTCTTTATTCCATCAATTTCTATTATCACAGTAGGGACCGGGCGAAAATCTGAAATTACAACTACACAGCATGCTTGTAACATAACATTCAAAAACTAGGTCAATTGATAGATAGTTTCTCCATCGTGAAGTTTTTTTTTTTAAATATAGATGTCAATAATATCAGAAAATAACATTTGCCTGAGATATTTCTCAGTGTCACGTTAATTTTTACATTATACCATAACATTTCAGTCTCACTCACCAACACAAATGAATGATATAAAAATACTGCATCAAACAATAAGGCTCCGCAATCAACTCTCACGCTGTGTTCGCACATTTGCACAGCGTCACAAAATATTTGATCAATGTTCACTTAAGAATACGATCATCTTTACAATAAATTAATGACCCACAAAGTGCCCTAACTAGTGAAAGATTACATTCAACAAGGCATCATGTTAAATTACTTTAATTATTGGATATTCGTTATTAACATGCGCGACCGCATCTTACTAATTTCATTCATAGCTTTAAATTAATAATTAAACTAAATTCATTGACTATCACTCATGCTGCACACTACGTTCAGATTTCTGCTACGGAACAACACTCACAATCATCAGTGTTCTAATACTTAATAATAATACAATTTCTAAGGCTTGAAATCACATAGAAGTAGTAAATGAAGAAAGTTTTAGTAAATTGGTCATTAGAAATAATTGGTCGAAAAGATATGTCTAAGGACAAAATGGCTGCCGAGCCGTGCAGATGTTACATTAAATTTCTTTACATTCATGTTGATATGAATTTGTAACAACCATTGAGTTTTGGTTGACGTCAACGCTTAAGACCAGCGCCTTTGAAGTCTCCTGCTTCAGTACTAACATACTAAATACGATTCGCTTTTAGAGCGTCTAATAAACGTATATCTGCTTAAGTTGTGGCTTGAGCTCAGGCGGGATCGTGTAAACTTCCTGTTCAGGCTTCTTTTTCACTAGTCGTTTCCAACGACCACCGATATTCTTGCGAAGACTGCGGAAACTGGCACGCTCGTTGCCGTGCGGCTGCATTAAGTTGTCCTGCAAATAAAGAAATGTTTTATTTAGTTACAATAGTAAAGTTTCCCAACATCTTAGCAACATCTGGAAAGAGTTTATTGACCCTAAGTATCGGTGCCCGATTTAGAGGTTGGTTCCGTTAACGTCCCAAATGCAGTCACTGTATCCGTAGCGGTGCTCCAAGCTCATTTAAGTATACAATGCATTTTACTGACAACTTTGTAGTGTTTTTGCTGGTCGTAAAAAAAACATTCAACAAATGTTTCTATTTTTATCTAGGACGAAACAATAAAGCTATGGAATACGTTTGTATTGAATAGGAAGTTAATATTGCGAACTGAACAGTGAGGCCATAAGAGAATGAGTGAACCTTGAATACGCTATTCAAAGACACATTAGCATTATTTGTTTCCTGGTGTCTTCGCATCACGACACACAGATGTTAAACGAAGACTCAAACGATGTCGATGATAAATTATGGATATATTTGAATGTATGTAAATGGGAACCGTTCATCAGAGCGTGATATTTAGGTCATAGTTTTAGTCTGTCGTGTTGAGGTCTGCGTTTGAATTATCTTTTGTTATACAGACATTCACAAAGAAAGAAGGCCGTGAAGTTACAACATGTTCGCCTTGTACAGCTTTCTATTCGGCGAGCATGTCCCGACATTTAAATTTATTTCGCACTTTGGAATATCGTGGCGACGTGGTGAACCAACTCTCTCTTGCGTGGCGGGGAGGGTCGAACTAGTCACGATTTCTTATTATAATGTAACGTTTCTCAATGTTACTTTCAATGCTGTTATTTAGAGAGGGATTCTGAGGTTTTCAAATTGTTATGCGAATGCATTAGCATTGGTGGGTGTAAATAGGTTTTGAGGTCAAGTATAACGGCGCAAACCAGTTTCGTGGCATTAAATATTTTGCATTGCTATGGTTTATATGAGTACTAACCTGATCGTGAGGATAGACGAAAGGCGGAGGCAACGGCGGCGGAAACTGCCACAAGGGCTGCTGGCGAAATGCAAGAGGATCCGGTTGCGGCGCAGGCGCAGCTTGGAGTACTTCAGCAGGATGTACGGAAGCAGAGTGCTCCTCCCTCTTACGCAGCTTGCTGTGGACGATGCGTATTGCCATCATAGTACCGTTGTTCCCAACCATTGTTTCAAAAGGTCCGTTAACGCAAGAATAATCGAAAACACTGGGTTGGATCACGGGCAAGAAGTTCCAATCAGACAGTCACAACATTTCTAAAACACAGTTCAATTCACTCACAGCCGTATCGCGGTCAAATGTTACTATGAACTAAATTAAATTAATTATCACAATTATTTGTTGTTATAGGCTTATTGCACATATCACTGTTCGTAGGAACGCGCGGGAAGACCGCGTTACGCGAGCGTTCAGCTGCGCGATAGGTGACTAGAATTTTATCGAGAAGTGTGGCCGGCAGGTGCCTAGCAAAGCGCTCGCTCGTGCCAAACGACCTCTACGGAGTACTCCATGCGTCTGAGTTAAAGTGGGGGGGAGCCGATGGCTTTTATAGACGCGCTGAGACGCGGCGTGCGCGCGGTCTGAAGAGCGGGGAGAGCGATGTTTGACGGTGTAACCGTTTTCCGCGAAAAACTACGAATGGAAGCGGCACTTGACGCCGCCGTATAGTAGTTAGTGATTATGAGTAACGATGACGCACCCAAAAGGCCGACTGTTGAATCTTCCCGCCTAGCCTTAAGCCTATTACCTAACTTTAATTCCATGTGCCTTGTACCTATACTGAAATTCAATGCCATACCTACTATTACACTATCGGCTGTGAGTAAACGTTGCAATGTTTTGCGGTATCTTATTATTCTTGCGTTTGTTTTCATATTACAGTATTGAAATAAAAAAATAACACTATTCAATCAATAAACACATTCTCATTATAGAAATCGAGATGCATCATAAAAAATATGTTGACATGACAACAGATAAATTGTACATGACGAAAAGCTGTGTAAACGCCCTCGTTATGAATGCTTTAGATATAAAAGCAATCAAACGCAGACTTATCGATCCCTGTGATAACTATAAATCCATTGGACTCTGCATTTCACCATTAACAGAGTTCAAAGTCCACAATATAAATATGCACACCGATCTATACGTCTAACACACAGCTGGATATAACTTAAACCGAACGCAGCACACACAGATATAACATCTCTGTCTGACCAACACAACGGCTCGTTAGCGGAAAAAGGAGTTTCGATTTTCGAATTTGCGACTACAAAGAGTAAAATAGGGCTGCAGGGCAAGGGAGAGCGGGAAGGTGCAATGCCCTTAGCAGCAACAACATAAGTAAAGCTACGGGCCTTTGACTCGAATAATGCCTCTTGGCATAAAAAACACAGGTAGTCAGCCATTATAAGGCGTTTACCCTTGAGAAACGTCTGGTGGGTAACGCTCTTTCAAAAAAAAACCGGGCGCGTATCTAGTTTCACATGATCACCTTTTAGAAACAGCAAAATCTGGTTTTTTAAAGAAGATACGTTAGATATATATTGTAATAGCTCCAACCTATAGAAATTATACTCAAATTATCATATTCAAACGATAGAATAACATAGACACGCACGTATAAATCTTGAGTCAATCGAATTGTTATCTGGGACAAGAGATTCGGTATAATTCATATCGACCTGTATGTACGTTATCTGAAACTTCAAAGTCATGTTTGAACGTTTCATCGCTATCGTTGAGAACACTGGCTATCATTCACCGCGACAGAAACGTGATCATTTGACATCAGAACCGAGCCAATTATACGGAGACAAAAGATCCTTCAGTATCTTATATGACAGTAATTTTACATGGTGTCACTGTGTGATGTAATGTTCTCAATGAGCCTTTAGCTATTATGAAATGAGACTGCCAATATTTTTAAAAATAATGTTAAAACGTTATCTTTCACGGTTGAGTTGTGAGTTATGCGATTGTGTCTTGGAAACACATTTCGGGGGAAGGTACCGATTTTTCTAAAATATACGTACAAGTTTTCACAAATTAACTCCACGGTGATCGAATTACGTAGTGTAATGAAATGAAATTCATAAAACTTTGAAAATAAACGCAATTACTGTTATACATATTATTATCCCGTCCGAGCGTAGCTGTAATAACCTTGCTACAAGAGATTAGGTATGGCGAAAAAAAATTATTATGGGCATATTCTTGACACACTCATTTCATGTAGGTAGGAAAAAAGTCTAATTCCCATTGGGACCTCGATCTTATGTTTCACGATGGACGCCGGTATTGAGAAACGTTAAGAAAAAGATATTTCAATCATCAGATACATAATTCACAAATACGATATGAAGGTATTGTTGATGCCGTACAACATAATATTTACTGGCAAACGTCTAAATAATTATTTGGATTGCATTTATCAGAGTCGATGATACTTGATTTGTCGTGGGCGCGCTCACACTGATTACAAAATTAGCTTATGCATTTCACAGTTGGTGCAAGTTGTTTCATTAAAATGTTTCATATAGTGCACCCGCAGTTCGAACTAAATATTATATTGTAATGGAATTAAAATGAACCAAATGAACCAAAATCACAGGCAATTGTAAAAACTATATAAAATCCTTTTGTATTATATGATTTCGTTAGCATATAATAGTATCATAGAAGAAAATTTATATTAAAAATACCATTTATTTGACTATACTATTTCCAGCTAAAACCGTCGTGTTATGTTATTTTATTAGTTACGGAAAAAACATTAGTAAATGGAAAATAATTATGATTTTAATTACCTCTATCCTTGTGTATTTCAAATCGAATGTAAAATCGAAATTGAGATCCTATAAAACGTTTTCTAAAACGAGATAAGTATGCAGTATGTATGTACGTGGACAAAACAACAATAATATTGAAATATAACAATTGGCTTTTCCCATTAACGCACTTATATGCTATTAAAATTAATTGTCTGTAATTAAGATTTATATTGTAGCACTCTAAAAATGTTTTGACCTCTTATTTGCGTCAATAAAGGCTATCTGCAATCGCCCTGAACAATTACATGTAAATTTATAATGATGTTTTTTTTGTCATATCAAACATTTCGACCTCAAAAGCTAATCTATTTTGCACTACAGGATAAACAAAGCTATGGCCTTACTGGTGTTAAATGGTTACAGAAGCCCACATATATCAAAAACCGTTATTGCTGCCAACTTTGATACTTGACGTGGACTTATCAGAAGCAATTTTTAGTATACGACATTAATATGCAAATAAGGTTTATTTTATAATAAGCGTCACGACAGAAAACCAATTTATTTTCAATTAAGAGGGATAATAAGCTTTTTTATTTAGATTTGAGTAGTGTGTACTAATGGGCGCTTAAATTTCTTCATAAAAGCACACTATAAAATTTAAAAACTTCAGTATTTTTTATTCAAAATAATAATTTTACAGTGCATTAACAGTAACAACGTTTTAATGATAAATATTTATTACCTATCAGATTGACGTCAAGAATGAAAGTCAACAGTACCCCTATTGACTTTCATTCTTATACCGTATACATAATATTACAATAATATGATACATTGGTATTATAATATTATTACCAAAAGCTATCCGACATTGACCGACTATACCGAGATTTCGTTAACCGTACTGGACCAACAAGCTATCATTTGTTTGGAAGAAAAAATCTATTCATCCGTGTTAATTAGAAAACTTGTTAGAGATGGTGAAATTGCTATGATGATTATACAACACAATCGTGACTTTGAACTCATGTCATTATGTTCGGGGATGTTGGAGCTGTTATTAACAAGGCCCTCTGTTCTCGGATGACCCCACCGCCGTGATGAAGCTGTAACGACCCCAGGGCCAACAGCAATCCTTCCTAATTCCGTCCCATTAAATAATATCACAAAATTCTAACAAACCGACTTCAAAAAAGCTCAATGAGAATATCGTCAATATAATCGAAGATAATTAAGTGTGCATCATTAAGGAAAACTCATAAACTACTGGTCAGATTTTGATAAAATTTAAATGGGTTCACATGATAAAAAGCAGCTTTGAAATAAATTAGTTCACTTTGAATAAAAGTTCTAATGTAACACATAAAAAATATAGTAGAAATGATAACCTCCTTTGTTCTAATTTGAAGTCGCTTTAAAAAACTATGGGTTCCACTACATTACTTCAGAAGATAATCCTATCCAATGATGTGTATCAATGAATTCGAAAATTATGTTTTTAATGTTGTTTGCGCGCAAATGTAATATTAACTATTATTTTGTCTTTCCAATCAATTACCTACTTCTTATCATTATATATTTTACATTAAAAATAATTTCAAAATGACGTCCGTAATCAGAACTTTAATAACGTTGTTTCGATTCAACTTTCGAAATTATTTACGTGATAATAATAAGACATAAAAAAAAATTATGAAATATTTTACTGATATTGTTAAATTACAAACATCATGACACGTGTCCGTTTTTGTTATATTACCGTGCGATATAGACTTATTGTTTCAGATAAGTGAAGACTTTATTTATTTTCAACTTCCGTTTTAAACATTTGCCTGTATGAATAAACTAATGTAAGCTGAGAAACCTAAACGTAAATATGGGAACGTTAATTAATTCAGTAATTCATCATCATCATCATCATCATTATCCTGCCCTTCTCCCAGTCACATGGGGTCGGCGCAACATGTTTTCTCCTTCCATACTCTTCTATCATATACCATTTCTTCACTCACTCCCCTCCTACCCATATCGTCTTTCACACAATCCATCCATTTCTTCTTAGGTCTACCTCTTCCTCTATTAGATTCAATAATAATTAATTAATTAATTCAGTAATTATATAGCAATAAAGAAATTTCAAGTTCGTACTACTTGTAAATTCTGTATCTAAAAGTTTCTCCTTCAAGTTGTTTCTGAACGTGACCTTGACGTTCAATCTATGTATGTTATAAACGTTTTAATCTTGAAACCATTTGTTGCCAAGACTATGTTTACGATTTGCATATCGGTTGTTTACGAATGCGTCCGTAAAATGTTATATTATATACAGTTGAAGAAATTC